GTATTTTCATTGTTACTTTCTATAGTAGCAGTAATTGTGCCTTGAATAAAACCTTTGATGAAATCGGAGTCATTTTGCTTATGATCTTTTTACTATAGTGTCTATTATGTCTTTGTTGATTCCGGTGGCAAATTTTAAACCGAAGCTGACGGCTTCTCGTTCTGTATTGAAAAACTTTATATCCGATAGATTTTCTTTTAGATTAGGCTTTGCAACATATTTCCACTTGCAGTCGCTGCTTAGATTGTTGAGTTTTACCTCAGTCTGTTGTTTGATTGTCACTCATTTGTTTGGTCCAGTTCAGCTATTTACCGTTGGTTAAAACGTGAGTTTTGTGTAGTTGTATTCCAGCATACCTGACTATTTAGTGGTTAGTTTTTCAAAAACTTCTGACTAGGTTAGGGTTCTGGCAGATCTAATATCACAGTGTCAAATACCTACTTACAAAAGTGATAGAAAGAAAATGACACTAAATAAATTCAGCGAGATAAAATAAAAAAAAACAACAACAAAGTTCTAAAATTCCCTACACCCCTCTGTCGTGCGTATGTGTAGTCCTACCAACATAACAGTTTAGTCCGATGAAGTCCTGAAGAATGAAACGTGTCTCAAGTAAAATTTTTCCAGTTTGTCATACAATTTCCCCATATATATATATATATATATATGGGTAAGTAGTAGGACAGAGCGGGTTCTGTTGTCTGCCTCGTCAGTCATGTATCGAGTGATGCATGATCACCTACGCGTGTATCACGCATGGCACATAAGTGACGAATATACAAAAACAACTGTCGGTGAATAATTCCCATTTCTCTGTTTATTCCTCGGTCCGTTGATGAAGGACACAGGCGTGTCCGAAAATTCCGAACATAAAACCTTTCTCTCCGTGCTTCATTTCTGTTTTATAGTTAATAATTAATATTTAGTAAAGTTTTATCAAAGTGATTATATTGGTACCCTTTCGTGGCTTTCCCCATTATATTAACTAACCTATCAATTTTACACACACGCATATATATATATATATATATATATATATAATGAAATGAACAAAGCCCGACAAATATTTTAAGACATTTTTTATGTTTATACATTCTTTTTATAGATACAAATATTTAAGTAAATGCTCTGTTTTATAATAAACAGTATTAAACAACATTTACGAGGCCTGAATGCCCGAGAAATTTTCATAGAAAATATTCGTATATCGACAGGAATCGAACCTGTATCCTATACGGAACTGTCATGTAGCCTGTCGTGCCTTTAACCGATTTGGCCACAGAGAATCATTCGATTCCTTTAAACTTCAATCCTCCATAAATCTCTCACGTACATTCACATCTGTTGAAAGCGATTCCATATAGGATACATGTTCGATTCCTGTCGGAGGATGAATATTTTCTATGAAAAAGTAAATGTTGTTTAATACTGTTTATTTTAAACAGAGTTTTTACTTAAATATTTGTATCTATAAAATGAATGTATAAATATAAACATATCTTTATATATAAATATATATATATATATATATATATGTGTGTGTGTGTATGTGTTTGCATAACAGATTTCTTTCGGTTTGGTTTTCGTAATCAGAGGCAATCCCATATACTATTTTATTCGCTATATATATATATATATATATATATATATATATATATATATATATATATATATATATATATATATATATATAATAATATAAATATAAAATATATAATAATGCATAGATAATATCAATATAGTATCTCAACATATCAGATATCGGAGACGAAAAGACATGCTTTTTTTTTTTAAATTCTTATATAAGCAAAACAACAATGATAATAACATTCTTAGTCTAAATGATCCATCGAAAAGTATATTCCCGTGATCAAAATTTCTTATTTTCTACGATTTTTATTTTTATCAAAGACAGCTTTCTAAAGTTTAACTTATTGTCCTTATATTAATTTCCTGTCTCGATTTCTTCTCTGTCTCGGTTTGGAGACCAGAATAAAAACGGCTAATAACCCGTGGGAAGTCCTTGTTGGAACGAAAACATTTTCTGCAGCAAAACAAATACACAAACAGAAGATTGACATGTTTTCTTATTTTCCTGTGCTCAGGAAAATAAAAATGGTTAGTGACGGTTGCGTTCATAAAGTTTCCTTTTTCTATGAAACTTCCGGCAACAAAAGTAATTGGTCAGCCGAACATAGAAGCCATATTTCCTGTCAATCAATGCCTATGCCTACTTCGCACCAGCTCGGCTTCTAGAAATATCTCTTTCTATTCATAGGAATTTAGGCAGGCAACATTTTTCACTACATATGTGTTTTGTTTAGAGAAAGCAATAATATTCCTTGCTATAGAAAATAATCCGAAATCTCTTTACATGTTTCGACTGACCGAATTTTCAGATATTTAAATCGTCTTAGCGTCGTTTATATCTAAGATATAATTAATACGAGTGTAAATAAACCGCCTATTTTGCACTGCCACAAAAAATTGTTTTATGCGCCGATTTTAAACACAAAATTTCGCGAAGTTTATAGTAGGAATTACAAAATCTCCCAGAGAAGGTAACAACGTAGAGTGTGAAGAAGAGACTAAGCATAAACCAAAAGAAAACAGAAGACATGGTCATCATTAAATGGTTGAGCCCCAAATGCTGACACGGAAGTTTAAATATATGGGAAGCGTTCTGACAGAGGACGGTAAATGCAACACTGCGATCCGTAAACGTATTTGGATGTCCAAGGATTCAATCCAAATGCTGGGCAAAGTATTGCGAGACAGGAGGATTTCTTTGGTATCGAAGAAAAGAATACTGAGCTGTTACGTGATATCTGTCCTTCTTTAGGGCAGCGAATGCTGGATGATTTCCTCAAAGATGAAGAAGAGCCCCATGGCGAGGGAGATGTGGTTCTACAGAATGATGTGAAGGATATGATGGACCGAACGCGTTAGCAACGATGAGGTCTAAGAGAGGATGCAAACAAGGAGGAAGCTTATACTTAACATCAGGAAGAGGCAGCTGGAGTTCCTGGGATATAACAAGGAAGGAGGGCCTGGAGAATCTGATACTCACGGTTCGAATAGAGCGAAAGGGAAAACAACGCATGATATACCTAGCGGCTTTAAGCAAGTGGATGACAGAACGTGGTCGGAGGGGGGTAGCAGGAAGGAACTTGAGCTGCAATAAATAGAAGGAGGTGGAGAGCCATGATCACCTACAACTTGGAAGGACACGGCACATAGAAAGATAAGAGTAGACAAAATTTTGTAGGATTGGTGTAATACAATCTTCTTTTTTCAGGATAGTTTTGAATTCAGTTTTCGTTTTCCTAGATTAGTTGAATCAGTTATTTTGTTTGTTATAGCTTATTGACATTTTTCTGGTTATTCAAAATCAGAAAATATTGTTATTATATTGTAAGAATCTTTTTATACAATTATAATTTACTTATAAATATCATTCTAATTAACCCACAGTTAGGGGGAGAAGAGGTGGATTCAAAATTTCCCAAGGGTAAGAGAATATAACGAACCTGAATGGAATTGAAACTGGGCCCTCCGATTTTCAATTCAGTGTCGTTCTCCATTACACCATGACACATCCAGGGTTTCAACAGCTTATATCCCCAAGCGGTCATCCAGCTTGACACTGACTGATCGTACGGGAACCGCTGTTTCAACGTGATAAGCTATCGTTTTTCTGGAGTGGTTACTACTTTAAGGCAAATGAACACAGTTTGCTCTGCTGTTTAATCCCTAGATGAAGATATGTGGATTCATGCCTTTTTCAAGAACATTAGCATAAAGTGAACGAAGCAAAATCGAGCAAGACTTGATCTCGACATTCTTATTTGCAAATCGATAATTGTTACAATATAGGTGGCACTTACTTATCCACATCTATGTTTACATATCTACATATATGTTTACATATCCACATATATGTTTACATATCCACATATATGTTTATATATCCTTATATATTTTTATATATAAATATATATGTCTATATATAAAAGCACACTTCAGACGACTATAAATCAGAGAAAACAAAAATAACACAATCATATATTTGTTTTTTTAATTTTTATCTACTTAGAATATTTGCAGCTGCATAATCTTCCCATTACTATTTCTTCCAATGCATAATAAATATCAACAAAAAGATCTTGCCAATAGGCTGATAAATACGTGCATTTCCAATTAACACAAATTTAAAAATCAAATTTAACGCGGGGTGATAGCTAAGAACTTCTAAACTGTAAGATGTTTGGTAATGTAATTTCTTATCTATTTTAAATTTTAACACAGGAACCATGAAAATTATATGGTTTGATAAAAAAAAACCAAAAAAAAAAAAACCCTTGAAAATAACAAAATCGGCACAAGTCTAAATTCGTTGATTCTTCCGTCACAATTCAGCTGAAACAAAACTAACACTCGAGTCATTTTGATCGGAGAATCTGTGTAGATGTTCTTTGAGAAGAAATCTGAGCTTAAACGCCTCTTCAGACACGTTTCACTTTACCGATTCCCATATGAATAAATTCGCCGTAAGAATTGAAAGCAAAGAATCGACCATTTACCAAAGGACACGTCTTTTACATTAACGAAGGACAATTTTCCTTCATCTTGCCAATAGTGTCCGTCGTTTACTAATTTTTTCTCTCACGTTTTCGAAACTGTTCTCGCATTTTTCCCCACATTTTATATTTATATCTGGCATTGTTGATTGTCTTCAAAGCTACCGCCGCCATCAGCCCGCAGGGAAACAAGGACTTGTAATATCATAACGCAGGGAAGATCACATTTCGCTGTGATTGAGGCCATTTCGCTGGGCTATTCGAGTTGACTTCCTGCTTGTTAAGGATGAAGACGGTTGGCTTCTCCGACACAGCGAACACAGAGCAGTTATTAATTAAAACCTGATATTACGAACGTGCTTCAGGTATTGTTCAGCCAACCTACTCAAGTGAGCAACAATTGATAAGAAGAACACATACGCTGGACTCCTAACTGAATTAAGTGAAAATCTAGACATAGATTACGAGAGAAAGAAGAGAGAGAGAGAGAGAGAGAGATAGATAGATAGAGAGAGAGAGAAAGAGAAATAAAAAGAGAGAAATATGCTATCTACATACAGCGGCTTATATATATATATATATATATATATATATATATATATATATATATATATATATATTATACAACAAAAAATCCAAAATGACCTCATTTGGATATAGTTCCAGACTAGCACAAGGATATGCCAGCCTTCCTCAGCCCTAGACTGACCGTCTCGGAATAGGGGATTTGAATTTATTTTAGATAGCAGTCGGTAATAACGTATGGAGCTACGTAAGAGGACGACTTGTTTTAATATGGAGTCTGGGTTGGTGACAAAGTGGGAGTTTATTTATGCACAAAGCCTTTAGTTGTATTTAAATGGATTTAGGTTCCTGCTAGTGGATTATATTATTAAGTCGGGGGGATTTAAAGACAAGACAATTTAAATTATCTAAATAATAAATAAAAAACCTGTAATACCGAAAAAACCAATAGAATAAATCACACCGTACAGCCCACATACGCACTAACAGACATACCTACATGTGTATACATATATTTAGCCATACACACACGCATATATACTCATACACACACACATATATATATGCATGCATTATGAAATAGACAAAGCCCGACAATTATTTTAAGATTTTTTTATGTTTATACATTGTTTTTATAGATACAAATATTTAAGTAAATGCCCTGTTTTATAATAAACAGTATTAAGGACATTTATCGGCCTAAATGTCCGAGAAATTTTCATAGAAAATATTCGTCCTCCGACAGGAATCGAACCTGTATCCTGTACGGAACCGTCATATAGCCTGATGTGACTTTAACCGATTGAGCCACAGAGGATCATTCGGCTAGCAAGGTCGATTTTACTGCTTTTAAACTACAATCTTCCATGCATCTCTCACGTACATTCATATCTGCTCAATGCGTATCCAAATGTAAACAAATGACGTCAAACATTATGAAATGGACAAAGTCCGACAATTATATTAAGACATTTTTATGCTTATACATTCTTTTTATAGATACAAATATTTAAGTAAATACTCTGTTTTATAATAAACAGTATTAAACAACATTTACCGGCCTGAATGTCCGAGAAATTTTCATAGAAAATATTCGTCTTCCCGTAAATGTTGTTAATACTGTTTATTATAAAACAGAGAATGAATACTTATATCTATAAAAAGAATGTATAAACATAAAAATGTACTAAAATAATTGTCAGACTTTGTCCATTTCATTATGTGTGACTTCATTTGTTTACATTTGGATACGCCTTGAGCAGATATGAATCTACGTGAGAGATTCATGGAAGATTGTAGTTTACTGGAGACATAATTATTAGTTGATAATTTGGTACATGTTGTTTGTGCAGGAGCAACTAATTTTGATCGATTTCCTATTGAAGATCTTACTTAGAGGGTTGTTTTGGGGGAAGTGTTCATTTATTAAATGTATATTTGGACAACAACCTTTCTTTCAAATATGTTCCGCTGAATATAATTAACTTCATGATTTTTTTCTTTATTTTTCGAATATTCTTACATTTTTCAGCTTCGTGCGAGTAAGGGAGTGCAAAAGTTTTCTGTATTGTCCATTTTCCAAAGTGCTTTCGGTAAATTTTTTAAACATTTTCTAGGGGTTTTGTTTTTAGGAGTTATTAATTTATTTTCAGGTTTGTCTGTTTAAGATCTAGTCCTTGTGCTGTTTGAATAGTTGTAGCATTTATTCCGTGTTTCGCGCGTTGAGCGTGCCTGGATTTTTAGGCGCCTTTCTACTTTAAAATACTTCAACCCTTCGACATTTCCGCTACTGAAGAAGGTGAGATTTATACTGCGTGCTGGTAATGTATTGCTGGCAATAATTTTTCCATCAAAAAATTCATTGCTGGTATTAAAACACATTTTTACACTTTCTCAGTGCCCCAACCCCAGTTTGCCTAGAGCCGAGATCCCAACAGGCGCCAGCATCCCGGGTCAGGGTGGAACTGTAAACACCAGCAACCAAGAGATGGTTCCACGATCCCCAAGACTTGCTTATCAGAGGACACTTGCTGTTGGACGGAGTTCATCGTTTTACCCAGGACGCTAATGTGCAGATAAACTGTACAGATGTGACAAGCAATAACAAACAAGAAATGAGTATTTCCTTTGATACAAAATCACAATAAATCGATTCCACGCAATTGGATTATTCTTATCCTTATTGAGGACCATTCTTATTTCTATTTTCATTCATTCTACATTCTCATTTTCTTTCTATTTTAATTTTTCGAGTTTTTATCAGTTATATTATTCGTTCATATTTTTTTAATTGTTTTCAATCGATTTTTCACTTTAGTTACTTTTTTCGTCTAACACGGACCTTGTTGCCCGCAATAAGACGTGGTTTCAAAGCGATGGTCATGATACCGCTATTATTGTAACGACCTTCACTCTTCAAATGCAAATGCTTTTTGTTTTAAAAAGCGATAATTAAAACTGGAATAAAACCTAAACATATGAAAGTGAATATATAAATTGTCTTTCTTCTTGAGAACTGACAACACAAATAATAAACATTATTGATTATAACCTCTAAAAGCTTTTACTGATGATAGTGAGTTGACTGATTGGCCATTAGTGGGAGGACGATGATCGCAAGCCAGTATTCTTGAAAACTGAGCATACGCTTGACACTTTACCCGGACTTGGGAACGATTTCTCCTTCAAGCAAAGGTTAAATAACATTGCTAGTAATAGGAATAATTCTGGTTTGATAGTCTTAAGGACAAACATCGTGACATTTTCGGGACCAGTGGATTTCTTAGGGCCAAGGCCTTTTCTAAATCTAGAGATTTCATGTGCTGTGATGGTAATATTACTGATATTGTGCTTAGTGAGACGTGGGAATTGGTGAGGGGGGATGCTCTTTATCGTCTAACACTGCGTTTGAGGCAAATATGTAGGTGAAGAGATTCGCCTTATCTGTCGAGGAAGAAATGACGTCTGGTTCATTTATAATTGTGGTCACAGCCGCTTTACCTCTGTTCATGATTTGGTTGGTGGTCTTCCAGTATTCACGGGATACAATTTATCTCTTTTCAACCTTGGTCTGGACTGAGCGTGTGTAGCTGGTGTTTTCTAGAACGTTTTTGCAGTGATTTCGGGAGGTTCTGCATGCAATGGCAGCCGATATTGAAGTCGTCGTTTCGGTTCTTTATGGTCATGTGTTAACAAGGGTTGGCTGTTTGTTTTTTGGTGGAACATTTTTGGGTCATAAAGTTCCCCATTCCAGCAAGGATCCAATCTGCACTGCTTTCAATCTTTATTCTATGCTATCATTAATTCATTCCATATGAAGAATATCAAAGAGACACCTTACAATTAATCAATGAAATTTTACAAATATATCAAAAGTATTTTCAACCGTTTCTTCCAGAAATCTAAATAGAAAAAAACAATTTACTTTCTGAGGGTTAAATATATTGCGTTGCAATATTTTTAATCACGAAAAAATTCACCGTCCCGGTTTCAATGTCAGCTGACTTTAAAATAGAGATCAAATTTTCTCAAATCAATTTCATCAAGACATTATTTGAAACTTCAATTCTTTACACTTAATATTTACAATAAAATATACCGGAAATAGTTTTCAGAAAGGAAGTAGAATTTTGGTTATACTGTTGTGGTAGGATCTACCTAATTTGTATAGTGGAGTAGCGACCATATAAATATGGTTGGTACCGGGAAGAGAGGGAGGAATCAAGAGATTCAACCAGAGACTCTGCCCGACTGCGACTCAGTCAACACATTCTCCAGGAACGGTCTTACCAGGAATATACAAAAGACTATATGTAAATATTGTGTACACTTTCTTGTTTCAATACATTTTGTTCTAACTACATTTTGTGTTGCATTATTATTCCATGCATTAGTCAAGTTTCAACATATACTAAAAACGAAAAAGAACGAAAACAGATTAAAAGACAATCCGAAAAATAGTCAACGGATTAAGCAACATTAAAGGTTTGCAAAGGAAATTTCATTCAATATGGCCAAGTAACAATAATACAACTACTACTAATAGGTGCAGCAAGAACTCTCAGAGTAAATCAGGGAAATGTACCAAGCATCAGCTCAAATAGTTCATTTCGCGTAATCGGGCCAATCTCCAAGATTCATTCTGCCTGGAAAGTTGTCATGTGGGAAAACTGGATATCGATGAAAGTGCTCATATAGCAGAGCTGCATTGAACGGTTCATAGACTGGGAAGTGTTATGTCCCTAAGATGCGAATAAGAGTAGAGATATGACGATTATGTACAAAAAAAAGAAGAAAATTCGCAGTTTGTAAATCAAATAATAATAATAATAATAATAATAATAATAGCAACAATAATTATGGATATCTGAGATCACTGTGAGTGCGCAGGTAGCAGTAGTACTAGTGGAATAGTTCATGTAGTAAGGAATGTATACTGTCGCTAAGCTGCGGGTAAGAACTGAGATATGACAATCATAGCCCGGCCGAAGAGAAATATCTAAGAGTCGGAGAGAATGACAAATAATAATAATAATAATGAGAAGAAGAAAGAAGAAGAAGAAAAGAAAGGAAAAAAGTAAAAAAAAAGAACAATATATATATATATATATATATATATATATATATATATATATTATATATATATATTTATAAATTATATTTTAAATTCAAAGATACCCCATATGAAATATGAATAGCTATTTCTATCCACAAGAATTAACCCTGCAACACCAAGAGGCTTGCAGAGAAAACGATTTTTTAAAATTTTTTTTTCTTTTTTGATACATTTTTTTCAATTTATATATATATATATATATAAGCAAGTGTAAATGGATATAAATCCGACAGAATGAAAAATTTTGAAAAAACAAACAAAATCCTTAAATGTAGTTAAAATGAAAAATGTCGACGTCCGACGTTTCCGGTTTAATAAACCTTTTTCAAGACAATATTCATCAAAATACAATTCAGTTCAATATGACAAATACGATGGACATAAAAACACAAGTCTTATTCAGAAC